ATATATATATATATACACATACACACACAGAGTAATTTTACAGTTCATTGCTTTTTCATGCATCGCACATATATCAACGCGAACACTCGCGCGTCTTCTTCATGGAAGATTCCAGTTGCAAAAATTGGCAAGCTCGTTTAAAAAACATTTACAAGAAATTCTTATATAATTTTCCATATCTTCCCTTTTAACTTTTCAAAAATCTGCAAAAAAAAAAAAAATATTATCATCGGATATCACGATCATACGATAAATGGATCGTATCTAATAGACAAGTTATCGAATCGGATTCTATCGAAAGTAACCGAGGTCAAGACCATAGAACTAAAGGTGCGTATATCGACTCCATTTCCTTGATATCTGAACGAAAAGTTTCTGCCCCGTCCGTTGAAAAGCTTTAGTATATCCCGGCCGATCAGGTTGCCTGGGTCTAGCCGGGTGACTGCTTGTTGCCTGACGACTGCTTGCCCGACTGGCTGACTGCTAGCCGGCTTTCAGTCTCGTCTGGTTCAGTCGCCGCTCCGACATCCTGCTCGCAACACGACCGCGGCCGGTGCCAGCACGGGGGCCTCCGTGCCTTTCCACGTTTCTCTCATCATCTCTTCGTTTACGGTTTCTGTCATACCGTGGCGGATGCAGCGGGGCCGTAACCCGGCTTTTTTCGGCGCCAGTTAAGACCCACGTGCACACGCCGAACGCTGAACCCGGTCGGAAGAAGAGTAAGTTGCTCTAGAACCACAAGGTATCCAGTGACTAATGGAGATCTGTTTGTTTCTTCGCCTAATAGGGGAGCGCGTATATCATTTTAATATAAATTGAATAGTGAAAAGTTAAGAAAGGTGTCGTATATGCGCGGAACAACGATCGAAAGATTTTCGGTCGGAACAGTGATTGTGAGAATCTTGTTGTTTCGCGAGTGAGAATGGAATTCGATCGAGCGTGATATTGTAAATTCCCAGGATGAAATTCGAAGTTTATTTTTCCGGCTGGCTTACGTAAGTGCTTTTAATAAATTAAGACGGCTCGAATACAAAGGATATTTGTTTAGAACGTGGAGTTGCCGTTTAATGAGATTGTTCAGCCGTGAACCGCGATCGTCGAGAGGTCGCAAAAGCCTTTCGTTATTATCGTGCTCTCGAACTCGAAAAGTCGATGACTCTTTGAAACTTCTACAGGCTGCTTGTCTTCGATTCGAGTCACGGCTACGACAAGTCTGTTGTTCTAACGCGAGGCTTTTGCCGCGTATGATTTGGCCTGAACCGCGGTCTGTGGGAACAATTAACGGAGGCATCGTTCCACGCAACAACTTTTAATAACTCGGTTCTTCGCTTGATCCCAGCTCCCACTTCTTTCGAAAATACAATCGTTCGGAAGTTAACGAGACCGGACAGTCACGAGAATTTAACCGCAACGTGTGCTCAACCAGTCGACCACTTTATCGTGACTCACCAAACGTATGCAAATCTCTCTCGTAGAATTGATTAAAATAAATGGAAATTTCGTCACTCTTTTGAATATTGTCGCACTTATTCGTAACGTGTATATAAAAATTCATACGAATTTCATATATTTTCGAAGGGATCGTGCATACCTCGTATAAATGTAAATTTCAATTTCCACTTTCTCGAAGATTATTTTAAAAGAGACGAGGATAAATCGACTATTTCTATTCGTGGTATACCGATGATGATGATGATGATGATGATCTTCGAGATTCTTCTTTTTCCTGACTCATCTTTATCTTGCTCGTAAAGTAAAGAACTAGGAGTCGTATCCTACCTTAGGAACTAGCGGAGATCTGGAGCTGACTTTCGGCTTAAACCGGTTCTCCCGCCTTTATACCTCCTCATTCCTGCACGTCACTTCGAATCGCATCCTTTAACGGGACGAACACCGGGATTTCGTGGATTTACCGATTCAACCGTGTAATCGCGATTGTCAACACTATTGTGTCGACGCGAATCTATCGATTTCTACGAGCATCTAACGGTATCAAAGCGTATTCTCTCCAACGATGAAGATCATCATCGCTCGTCGTTGAATTCGTTCGTGAAAGGTATAGAAAGAGAAGAGGAACGATGGAAATATCGATAAAACAACCGCGCCAATTTTCCTCGCACTTCAAATTATCTTCAAAGGTGTTATTATTCGGAGCAATCTTGTTCAAACTGATAAGATTAATCGCGGCGCGGACGAATATTAAATTTACGCGTCGTCTTCTATTAAATATTATTGCACCAGCCAAGATAAATCGCATTAACCGTGGATTTTAACGGGAATCTGATTTTTCTTTTCCCCATTCCACAACCGAGAATAAACGCGGGAAGATTGTGGGAA